CTGAATCACCACTTCATTTTGATTCGGGTCTTATGGGGAACCTATTAAAAGTCAACTTTCAGACTCAGAGGCATGACACTCAAAAGCACACTCGTTACCCATAAAGGATTTGGAAATGACTTTGACACTAATCTGCCCATTGTTCAGTTAATAATCGAACACTGTTATTGAAGATGCAGAAAGTTCCGATTGATAACATTAAGATCACAAAAATCAAGTACTTTTTTTTCTTAACCAACATACATGAAGCATCTTGGTTGTGTCAGGCACTCCATGAACCTAAAGGATGTGTGATTGTGCTGAAATTCAAGGCCTTGTACAATCTGCAGCAGAAACAGCTATTTCCTCTGCTAACTTCACAGCCATCACTATGGTGGGTACTAATAAATCCATTTTGCATTTCTTCAACCAGCAGGCAATCACAGATAACTCATTTCAGGATTGTATTATTTCCCACAGTGAGACATTTAATTGAGTGCCACAATATTCTGACACACTCACCTGTTATGTTTCTTAGTAGCATACATTTGCCAGCGTCTTAAAGGCACAGAAGTGTGTTTTATTCAACGTGCTTTCTTTACTTTTATACATAAAAGGACATAATCAGCAGCAATAGCAATGAGATTTGATGGGTGAATGAGATTCGTGAATTTGCCATTTTTCCATGGTGTAAAAATAGAAATTTTTAAAGTAAATGATTGGCAAGTTTTCCTGCAGGGCAGTTTTTTAAAGAAAGAATGTGTTTCATAAAAATAAAGCACCAAAAACCAGATATGGTGGCTCCCACCTATAATCTGAGTGCTTGAGAGACTGAGCCAAGAAAATTTCTATGAGTTGGAAGCCAGACTGAGCTACATTCACCTCCTGACTGCTGGAATTATGGGCTTGCAATACCACAACCAGTTACTTCATGTGCTATTGGGGATCCATCCCAGGGTTTTGTGCATGCTGGGCAAGCACTCTACCAAGCAAGCTATATCCCCACCCCTTGAAATGTTTTTAATTGCTTCTTTGATTTTTTTTTAGTTTACTATGTAATTATATCATTTTTCTCTGTTGTGGGACATTTTGATCATACTCTGACACTACAGAGACTGACAATAAAGTTAAACCTTGAATCAGAGAGGGGAGTCAACATTCATCTGGCCAGAATTAATCATCGAGTTTTTGGCGGACCCAGATTGGGATAGAGAGACACTGGAAGAAATAGGGAGGGGTTTAGAAAGATTCATGAGCCTTTTCGGTCTGGAATTGTGGAGAAGCAGGGTCAGCTGATCGTTCATCTGTTGCTCTTTGGATTTAGCAGGTTTTTACCCCAATTTCTAACTCTGAAGTTTTATATAGTAATAGAACAACATAAATAATAGCTTTATTTCTCCGTCCCCTTCCTCCCTCTCAATATTCCCATATACCACCACTTGCTCTCTTTCAAATTCATGGCCTCTCCTCTCATTAATTTTTATATATATGTATATGTGTGCTGGACAGCATTGTCAGATTGGTGCAAGGAGCATCATGGGTAAATACATATATTCCTAAATATAGTTTTGTAAGTCATGTACACACAATATAAATTAGTGGCATAATATGTATCAAAAAGGAGCCTATCTCAAACATCACAATTAGCAACAAAAAATGTAAATCTTAAAGAAATGTATCAAAGAATACTAAATAATTACAATAAGTGATGGGTTTATTCATCAGTCATATTCTGCCATTCTATGATGTACCAGATACAAAAATACCATATTGTAAATAAATACATAACAATTTATCCTTCATTTAAAAATAAAGCAACCACAGATGGGACATCTATGGTAGAATTTCCACGACAGAGGGAACATTGTAAAGAGGGGTGGAAAGACTGGAGGGAGCTGAAGAATAGGGAAGAATGCAGTCACTGGCTTCTCCACACAACGTGGACGTGGACATTGCAGCTATGAGCAAGCAGTAGCTATGACTCCCTGAATGAAGCCAGCAAAGAAATGGGGGAAGGAGAAGGGAGTAGGGAGAAGGCAAGTCATGAGAGGAGAAAGAGACTAATGTGGAAGAGCAAGGGGGATGACAGAAGTTGAAGGGAAATGTGAAAATGTGAGAGTAGTTGGGGTTGAATGTAATCACAATGCGTTGTGTTCAAGTATGATATTATCAAAAATTAAAAATAAATACATAAATATAAAAATACACCAAGCAGGTATTTCCAAAAATTACCGAATATAGTTACTACCATATTCAAAAAAGAAGTTAAACAAGAAACAAACCATAACAGCATGTAACAACAAGAGGGAAATTTACTTAATATTATTAAATAAATATTATCTGAACACTCCAGTGGCAAAATGATATTGCAGCCTGTTGTTTTGTTATTTGATGTTATTTTCTTGCAAATCTTCTAGGTCTACAAAGCCTTTGTGCTTTCTCAGGTGGCATTCTGGTGAGAGTAAAAGTTACCTGAGAGCTAGGACACAAATGTTGCTCCCCAGGAAGAGGATGAGAGAAAAAGGTATTAAGAAAAGTTATAATTCAGGCGGGGGTGTGTTTGGGCTGGGAGACTCATTGCCTGACATGAAGCCCTGGTTTGTTCTCTAGCACTCTATGCACCTGGTAGGGCAGTATTTTCCCATATCTTAGCATGCAGGAAGGAGTGGCAAAGGGATCAGAAGTTCAAGCACATCCCAAAGTTCCAGTACATCCTGGGCTAGAGACCTCATCCATAAAAGAAAGAGGAGGAGAGGGAAGAAAAAGGACAGGCTGCAATTCAAAACATTGAGGCATTCAGTTAAAATAGATTTTTCCCTAAGAGATCTCGAGTAATATAAAATTTGTAGACCTAGAATATACCTAACAAAAATATTACCTAAGCCTGTACCCCAGAAAACTAAATTAGAAAATGCATCCCAGGTATTTTTAATTCAGAGATTTCTGAGGCTTATATTAGACAAATGGCACTTTTTGGACAGCAGGAGCCTCACACTATATAAAACTGAAGAGTGAATTAAGTGAATTTATTTATTTATTTGTTTGTTTGTTTGTTTTTATTAAGAAATTTTTTTATTCATTTTTCATACCAATCAAAGATCCTCCTCTTCCCTCCTCCAATCCCTCCAGCCTCCACCTCCCAACCCACTCCCCCATTCCCTCCTACAAGAAGGTAAGGCCTCCCATGGATAGGTACATTTAATAGAGGCAGGTCCAATCTTCTCCCCTGCCACAGCTGTTGATCTAAATTGCATGAGTTTCCACTAGCTTTGTTTGTCTCTGTAGATTTCCCTGTCATGATCTTGATGCACTTGCTTATAGAATCCCTTTTCTCTCTCTTTGACTGGACTCCTGACGCTCGGCCTGGTGTTTGGCTGTGGATCTCTGAATCTGCTTCCATCAGTTACTGGAGAAAGGCTCTATGATGACAGGGTATTCACTAATCTGATTACTAGGGTAAGCCAGTTCAGGTACCCTCTCCACTATTGCTAGTAGTCTAAGCTGGGGTCAGTGGATGCCTGGGAACTTCCCTAGCACCAGCTTTCTCCCTATCCCTGTGATGTCTCCTTCTATCATGGTATCTCTTTCATTGCTCTCCCACTCCATCCCTGTTCCAGCTCGACCATCCTGTTCCCTTATGTTCTCATCCCCAATCCCCTACCCTCCATTGCCCACCCCTCATCCCCAGTTTACTCAGGAGATCTCATCTATTTCCCCTTCCAGGGCATTCCATGCATCCCTCTTAGAGACCTCCTGCTACCTAGCTTCTCTGGAGCTGTGCATTGTAGTCTGGTTATTTTTGCTTTATTTCTAGTATCTGCTTATGAGTAAGTATATACCATATTCTTGTATTTCTGAGTCTGGGTTACCTCACTCAGGATATTTTCTAGTTCCATTCATTTGCCTGCAAATTTCATGATGTTACTGTTTTTCACTGCTGAGTAGTACTCCATTGTGTATATGTACCACATTTTCCTAATTCATCCTTTGGTTGAGGGGCATCTAGTTTGTTTCCAGGTTCTAGCTGAACTTACTTCTTAAGAGACAGAGCTAGAGGTCTAACTTGTTCAGTATTCAAAACTGAACTGATTATGTGTAAAAGACATTATGAAATTGAAACCTCAATATGATGTTCATGGGAATTTTTATAGTACACTTTGAATGCAAATATTATTTTTCACCAACAAATGTATATATAATTACATAAAACCAAGTCTTAAACATAATAGTGCACAGAATAAGATTATAAAATTACTGTTTTATACTTTTTCTTTTGTTTGTTTCTTTGTTTTATCCTGTTCTGTTTTTTTTTCATTTTATTATTATCATTATTATTTGTATTATTATGTTTTAGATACCTGTTTGTTTTCTAATGAGGAGAGAAAGAATTGATGTGGATTTCGATGGGTAATGAGGTGGGGATTATCTGGAAGGAGTTGGGGGAGGAGAAATCACAATCAGAATATAGTGTACAAAAAACTATTTTCAACAAAAATAAATTAAAACAACTACTGAAACCAAAAGAACAGACACATGAAAGGAGCCATGTCTTAACCTATCATATACCTTCATATTCTCAATGTTTAGAATGGCGTCCAACACAGGAAATCAAGTGCTAGATATAATTTGAATTAAATTTATCATTAAATAAAATATTGTTGAAGCAAAAACATTGACTCTGATACAATGGACTGACACCCTGACTATAAACCCATATTCTGGCTTATAATGTACTGAAATAAAATGATACAGATTCATGTTTGTTAGGTCAGTAGAACATGTTTATTAACGATGAATTTAAATTTTAGATCACGGAGAGCCACAACAAATGTTAGTGACTGCATATAATAGATGAAATCATAAATTTAATAGGGAGAGTCGAGAGTTTTCCAGAGTAATTGAAGACCAATTCCCTCCAGAGCAAGAAGTCAATAAACCATAGATGTCTTCTCTGTAACAAAGAGAACATCTTCCTCTCTAAAGAAGGGCAAAATAAGATAGTATTCAGATCAGCAGTTCGTTCAGTAGAAGCTGGAGAACCCATATCTTCCACAGCATGAAGGGCGGCAGCATCCGTATCCATAGCCAGAGCCATATCCGTAGCCTCCAAACCCAGAGCCATATCCATAGCCTCCATAGCCAGAGCCATATCCATAGCCTCCATAACCACAGCCACAGCCCAGTCTGCAGATGCTGTTACATCCACAACCATAGCCAGAGCCCAGGCCTCCGAAGCTGCCATAGCCATAGCCCAGGCCTCCGTAGTAGCCACTGTAGTAGCTCATGGTGTCAGGAGAGATAAACTGTTTTGCACTGGAGATGAATTGAGTGCAGTGTGTGTATGCCTAGCTTTCATGAGTGCTTTTATACTCTGTGTTGAATACAGTAAACAAGGACATGTGATCCCATCTCCATGCAACAGAATAATTTCAAGTCTATAAATTCATTTAAATAGTTTCTTTGTTACTTAACAAAAGGTCCACACTTCTATTAAGGAATTGTTAGCAATCATTATTTTTTTTAATGAGTTTGCATTCCAGTAAAGGAAATGCTTCCAAGATGAAAAATGATTTTACCCTCTTCAAAGGCCATGCTACTGTTCTAATTAAAATCTTCTAATCTGGTTGATAGCTTCCAGTAACCTTGTAATTATGCAACCTTGGAGTACTTTTCTTTTTAATTTGCATTCCATTGTTTTAGTTAGCCATCAATCCTTTAGCTCAAGGTTTTAGCCTCCAGGTACTTAGGGCATCACCACAAAGTCTTTAGTGATTGTCAAAAAGCCAAATTTAAAGAAAACACCATTTCTTGACTCATTGGAATTTTTTTTGACATCACTCCCATCAATTCTTTGTTGACCTTATTTCTCTTAATTTCTATAATAAATATTCAGCTAGCTCCCCCTGCTCATTCTCTTAGTCTTGCCCCAATTCTTATTCATCCATTAGCTCTGAAAGTGTAGTGTACCCTTTCCTTCTCAATCAAGCTATAGCTTTATCAAATGGGATTTCACTAAATCCCATTTATTTATTTATTAAATCTGTTCTTTGACAATTTCACACATGAATATAGCATATTGTATTGTTCTTAATCCCTCCCTTTCTTATCTCCTTCCTACCACCATCAATGCACCCTCCTTTCTACAAATTCCCTTTCCACATTAACTATTATTCTTTTTAGAGAATATGATTACATTGTGAGTTTGAAACACTGTCTATAGATACCAGTTCCAGCGACCTGGCTACTTATTGACTCAGATCCATTTGAACTAGCCTTACTTTCCATTTATAGGGGTGGTAGACTCATCTTTTCTCGTGAACCTGTTCTCTCTAGTCAGTCAAACACTTGCTTAGTATGGTCTTGAAATCTCCCACAAGTGTTTAGTGCTTTACCTGTTTTGTTCCAGGACATGCACTCAATTTGTGAAGTGAACCTTCTAAGTGAAATCTCAGTTGCTCTCCTCCTTAAGACTGCTATTTTTCATTGGTTGTCCATCGCTTTTAGATTAGTGAACAATCTCCCTCAAGAGCTCCCTGCCCCAAGGGAGGCTTCTCCTCTGGTTTGTTCTATAAATGACTAAAATACTAAAAAATAAGTCTTCAAATTTCCTGTGTATACTAGTCATTGGGAATATGATGAAACTCTTTAAATTCACAAACAATTTTATTCCTCACCAATCAAATCTTCTCTATCTTTTTGCTTGCAATCCATCCACATTATAAATCTCTCCAGTTCAAATGCAAGCAATGGTTGACACTGTAAGACATCAGCCTTCTGTGTTATCACAGACACGTGGTTTATGACTTCATGTGGAATTGTCTTTTGTACTTCAGAAACTGCTGACAGGAATCTTATTCTATCCTTACCTTCCAAATACAGCCCAAGCATCATTTACCTCAAAAAATATCTCAGTCATATTTCTGGGAACTTCCATCCCAGTCTTTTTAGAATGACCTATGGAATGCTATCAGATACACAAAACACAGTATTATCTGCCTTTCTCATCAGATTTTTAGAGTGATATTTGAATGTTTCCCTGCTTTCCCCACTAAACATCTGTTATATTTGAGGTAAAGAAGGTTCATATCATCACATTCTATAATTAATTGCTCAAAAATAGTAAGTAGTGGTTTCTGCTTGCTTGATTAAAACACATGGAAGTCCATAAAAGGTATACATTCTATTATCTCTGTATGCCATGGAAATGCATTCTTCTGCTCATCACACTTATACCAGTAAGATGTGTTTAGGATAATATATTTACAACTTTATGCTTTATTAAGCATAGTTAAAGTAGTAGACAGCCTTACAACCTAACAAAGGAATTAAAGAATGATGGTGAAAACTGGCTTTTGTTTTTAATGGAATCTTCATCTTCATCAGCAGGAGTTGGGGTGGCAGCTGTGCAGTCCTAACCTTAAAATTCATTCCCAATACAAACCAATGAACTACACAAATTCTATGCTTCCAAAATAATCCTATCATGGAGGGCACTGCAAATTTCAAATTAAAAGAATGCCAGACAAAACCCCCCACAAGTTACTAGTGGAGAGTTTTCTTTAGTTCTTTTCCTAGCATTGTGTAAAGTTGAGTAAGGCAAGGACAAGGTCAAATTTGCAGCTTAACATGAAAACTGAATGCCTAAAGATCAAATAAAAATAATCCACAGATAGGGTTATAATGAATGTCTAATGACCCCCTCCACCCAAAAATCCAGAAATGCAAGTACTCTCCATATACCCAAAGTATGAAGATTTAAAAAAGTAGAAAAGATCATTAGTTATCTGGTAATTTGAGAGAGAAAGAGACAAAGAGAGGTGAAGAACATTCCATGAATCAACAACTCAAAGATAGCCAGACACTGGTGGTACACACCTTTAATCCCAGCACTCCGAGTGGCAGAGCCAGGCGGATCTCTGTGAGTTCAAGGCCAGCCTGGTCTACAGAGCAAGATCCAGGACAGGCACCAAATCTACACAGAGAAACCCTGTCTCAAAAACCAAACAAACAAATAAAAACCCCAAAGGGCAGTGCAGGAGAGATGAGATGGCTTAGCAATTAAGAGTGCTTGTGAGGAATGATCTGCAGTTATTTAACTCAGCCTGATTTGCAGTGATCTTTAACTCTGCAAAGTCTGGTATTACTATGTAAAGTCACTGCTTTTGGTAAATTGTCTGACCCAGTTATTAATGAATGAATATGGATTTGAAATTTTTTAAACTAAATAATTTGTGCTGTTCCAGAAATGGTTTTGTTGCTCTTGTTCACTGGGTGTCATTTCCCAATGCATTGATGTGAAGGGATGGAAATCTAAACTAAGTTAGTTTTCAGATGGGGATGTGTGTTTACTGTGATGAAGAGGAGTCGGATGCCATCAGAGCTTTGTGAATCAGCTGCGGTGTTTTCGCTGATAAACAACGCATAGCAGGTGTGCTTCATTACAAATATATGTATCTGCCAAGGTGAAGCCACTCTAAAGAATTTTGTCTTATATCTAAAATGGATACAAGCATATGTTTAAACTGCAAGATTTTTACTTGCTAGAGAATCTGTTTTAATATAGTGGTTTGGCCTCTGATTATTTATAGGTTTTATACATTTTAGAATCAATTTCTCTTTAAGGTGGCTCAGATTTTTCAACTCTTGTGCACATAAAATTGAATTGAAGTTCATTGTGCCTTTTTTTTTTACCGAAATTTTGAGTTAAAGCTTCATATGGTAACTGCATCCTGTTCAAACACTTGTCTAAATTTTGAAGCTGTATAGTGTTCACTAAAAGTAGGAATAACAAAGTCAGAATGAATTAAGGTCACAAACTTTGGTGAAACCCTCAAAGTCTAAATCTTCTTGATATTGTGAGTTGTCCCTTCCAGTTGAGTTTCTTCTGGACTCTCCCTACTGGACTGACAGTTACCTTTTCAGATTTGCACACATTGAGATGAATTAAAATTGGGCCTCTACTGTGATGATTCCTATTTCCTCTCGAGTCTTAAGTGCAAACTAACCTTTAAGTAACATTAGCATCAGATAGTGCAGACTTATGTGCTTTGCTTGATTCCATTTGCTGTGACCTCGCCAGTTTTGAATTGGAATCACACCATTTCGTAGATAAAGGAAACTGAGTGTATTGCTGCACTTTTAAGTTTTCAAAACAGTGTTTTAAAATCACACTGTTTTTATTTTTTTAACTCAGTTTAAAAACAACTAAAATGTTCTTTCAAAAGAGGCATCTAAACGTGTTCCTAATTTTGTATATGGGCCTAGGTTTTGTAACCAATAAAAAAGCTGCTATCAAATATGAAAAAAAAAAAAGAGTGCTTGCTGTTCCTTCAGGAGACCAGGGTTTAATTCACAGTATCCGTATGAAGTTGCTCACAATCACATTTAACTCAATTTCTAGGGGATCTAACCACCTCTTCTGGATTCCTTGGTAACTGCACATGCTTGTTCATGTACTGAAATATGCATACACACACACACACACACACACACACACACACACACACACATACTTGCACACACATCTAATTAAAAATAGAACAAATCTTTTAAATGTTCAAAGAGTAAGAATAAAAATGAATGAAAGAAGAGGGTTGATTGAAAATTCTAGGAAATAAATAAAAGGATACAAATCACATCTTTAGAATCTCCAAATTCCATTGCAACTGAGGAAGAGTGGAATCAAATAGAAATATAAAACATGACATTGGAGAAAATCAGAGAATAATCAAAAGAATAAGCATGTTTCTAAGAAAAGAAACAGAGAAGCATTAGTGAAGTGGAAGACAGAGAAACTTAATTGTCATCTAACTGAAGTCTGTGATGAGAAAAATTAGTCAAAGCAAACTTCAGTCTAAACAGAGCTTCTAAAATTAAAAGACATCTTCAATCTGCATATTGACATGGCCATTCATTACATAGGACTATGATTAATAGCTAACAAATTCAAGTCATTGCTCAAAGTTCTTGAGATAAATAAAGCTGGGATGGTTGCAAGGCAGTATGAGTGTATTTAATGCCAGATACCAAACTAAGAACCTAAAATGGTTAAAGTAGTAAATTTTATGTTGTAGTTTAGTACAAGAAATGAAGGACTTTGAAGATTAAGAAGTATTTCTCAGAATATCCTAGAATTGACTCAAACATCTTTAATGGCAGGAATATTAAACCTCAATATAAATTTCAAAGAATCATTATGAAACAGGATTTTATACAATGTTTCATTAAACCACAAGGGAAGAATTGAGTGCAAAGGAATTTGCACCCAAACATTCAATTGTACAGT